TGTGGAGGCCCTAGACCTGGGCTGGAGAAGCCCATGTGAAAAAAAAAACAAAGTTGGGGGGCTGGATTCAGAGATTTTTTATGAGAGAAAGAAATCGCTTTTGAGGTGAGATTTCTGGCACTCCCCTGGTTAAAAAGAAACAATGTCACAGAGGAAGTAACTGGATACACAGGACGCAGGTGAGGCTAGAGGAAGGACAGAAATAAGTGCTGGAAGTGAGCCGGAATGAGGCAGGCAACGAACGCTGACTATTGTTGCAAGTGAACTCATCCTAGAATTTTCTGTTTCTCCAACTGGAATCAGAGAGCTAGATCTTCCCGGAAACATAAAGGTGGAGCTAGTCCTTGAGACTAGGTGAACAGTCCACGGACACAGAGCTGGTGGCTGTCCTAGGAGCGGCGCACAGCTCTCCCAGCCCTGGGTCAGAGCAGTCTTTCTAAGTCCCGGCACTGGCTTTCCAAACGTGGCACTGAGGGCTGGGGCCAGAGTCGGGGCCAGAGTCAAACACTTGTCTTTGGCGACACCCCTTTTTCCTCCCTTCCCCGTCTCCAGCCAGGTCCCCCTTCATCCCTTCCCGCAACCTTGACCCAGATTTTTCCTGTTCCCAACCCGTCTATCAAAATGCATCTGCCCCGTATTTTGTTCCTTCAGGATCCTGATCTCTCAGCAGAACAGGAGCTAACGTACAAGTCCAACTAATTCTATTCCACTGAAAAATTGCCAAGCATGCTATTTACAGGCAGCAGACATTGAGAGGAGGGCCAGGAACAGGCTAGTGCAGGAAATCTCCAGACTTTGGGCTGTGAAGAGGGTTTTTTTAATTCCTTTCTTGAAGTCTTGAGATACTGCTGAGGACAGTGGATGGACTGGCTTCCTAGGGCTGCCATAACAAAGTACCACACACTGGGTGACTTTAAATAGACATTTATTGTCTCTCAATTCCAGAGGCCAGGAGTCTGAAACCAAGAAGTCCGCAGGCCGTTCTCCCGCAAGGTGCTAGGGAAGGACCATTCTATGTCTCTCTTCTAGCTTCTGGTAGCCGCAGGCGTTCCTTGGCTTGTAGATGCATCACTCCAATCCTCCGAACTCACACGGAGTTCTCCTGTGTCCCTTCACACATCTCCCTCTGTGTGAGTCTCTCTCTGTGCCCAAAGTTCCACTTTTTATAAAGACACCAGTTATATTGGATTAGGTCCCACCCTAATGATTTCATTTTCACTCGATTACTTACATACCTTAGAATGTGACCTATTTCCAAATAAGGTCACATTCTAAGGTACTGGGGGTTAGGACTTCAATGTATTTGGGGGAGACACAATTTAACACATAATAGTAGGTGTCCCGCAACAGCCAGGTTACAAGAGAGGAGTCAGATGGGACGTCTGCCGGTGCCAGGATGGACAAAGTGATAATATTCGAACAGAGCTTTACTATTGTCTAGATACTAATTTTTAGAGTCTCTGTCTCATCCTCTCACAACCCCTATGCGATCAGATTGTCATAACTTCCTTCTACCAGAGAGTAAAAGTGAGACTTGGGGCAGCACTGCCCAATAGAAACATAATGCAAGCCACACATGGAATTTCCAAATTTCCAGAAGCCACATTTTTTAAAAAGTAAAAAGAAACAAGAGAAATTAATTTTAATAATATATTTTGTTTAACTAAAGACATTAACATTCTAACAGGTAATCAGTATAAAAATTATTGAGATAGTGCTTCCCTGGTGGCGCAGTGGTTAAGAATCCGCCTGCCAATGCAGGGGACACGGCTTCAAGCCCTGGTCCGGGAAGATCCCACATGCCGCAGAGCAACTAAGCCCGTGAGCCACAACTACCGAGCCTACACTCTATAGCTCTCGAGCCACAACTACTGAAACCCACGTGCCTAGAGCCCGTGGTCTACAAGAGAAGCCACCGCAACGAGAAGCCCGCACACCGCAACAACGATCCAATGCAGCCAAAAATAAATCAATAAAACAAATAATTTTTTTAAAATTATTGAGATATTCTACACCCTTTTTTACACCAAGTCTTTGAAATCCAGTATGCATTTCACAAAAACACATAACTATTAAAACCTTAAACAGTCCTAAAATGATCTTTCATTCCTTCAGTGGTATGCATAGTACCACACCCTAGAAGAGCAGATCTGACAGGCAAGACGGACCCAACAGCCCCACTCACCCAAGGAAGACAGCAGTACGTGGCACCTAATAGTACACACTACCTTTCAGTGACCACTCCCTATGGCCTAGGTACCAGGCTTAGAATGTCACATACATGCAATCTTATGTATATTTTATATATATGTAATCTGATGAAACCTTACCTAACATGCAGTGACTCTAGAGATATATAAGCAATGCTCTTTAGAGGAACGGCGGGAGCAGAAACGTAATGTTTCAGGATTTCTGAAAGTGCCTGACCTACTGACAAATGTGGTTCCGGTGAGGTGAGTGAGCCTGGGTGCGTGTGTGTGCAGAGATGGGTCTAGAAGAGCAGTTTGAGACTGTGCTGCAGGAAGTCTCAATGTCACACTAAGCAGCAATGATTTAGTTCTGGAAATCATGAAGCATCACTAGAGGTTTTAAAATTAGGCAGTGAAATGAGCACACGCGTACTTCCAGATGATGATTCTGATGGCAGTGTGGAGGGTAGGCTGCACAGACCAGAGCCTGGTGTCAGGGAGGCTGAAAACCAGCAGGCTTGTTACGCAGTGGCAGGGGGAATGTAGAGGGCGGAGTCATCTCGTAGCTGAGACAGATGGGCGTGGCGGTGTCGGAAAATAAAAGAAACGGAAGGTGGGCCCTCAAAAGTGACTTTGGATTTTCTAATTCAGGTGATGCCACACACTGAGATGAAATTAACAGGGCGGGGAGTGGATTCAAGGATAGACGGGATGAGCTCTGCTTTAGCTCCGTGGGGAATTGAAAGGCCTTGGGATCCCCATGGGAAGCTGGCCACAGGCAGCTGGAAATAAGATCTAAACTCAGGAAGGGTAAGGGCTGGAGGTGCTAGTTTAGGATTCACCAGCCAAAGGGCAATGGTCACGGGTTGGGGTGGGGGGAGTTATGGCAATTAGCAAGGAGACCTGGCAGCTGAGTGTAGAGGGCAGGTAGCAGAAGGGCTGATGGAGGATGCTGAGAGGGAGATGGTGGAGGGGCTGAAGGGAGGAACGGAGGACAGAGGCAAAGCACTCAAGCAGAGAACAGTCAACAAATTCCAATAGTGCCGAACAGTAAGGTACATGCGGGAACTAAGAAGAGGGTCTGAGCTGTGCCTCAGTTTCCTCCTCTGTAAATACGAGTTTGAGCCAGAAGGCTTCTGACGCTCCTTCTAGCTCAGTCACTGGGGTGACAGCCCAGGGACAGTGGCCTCAGCACAAGTCTTGCCTGGATCTGAGGCAGCCCTGGGGCACTTGGTCATGTATGCTCCCCGGTGTCCCAGGACCCATGTGCACCTCAGGGCAACCATGGACCCCTACTTGGATTTCATTCTCACAATAGCCTTGTCTATTATCACCCCCATCTTATAGGTGGGAAAACAGGCTTGGTGAGGCTAATTATTTGCCTGATGTCATAGGGTTTAAGGGATTTGAATCCAGTCCGAAGAAACTGAATTCAAGGTTCGCTGATCAAATAGCCTTTCTCACCCTCACACCTGCAACACCTGGGTCATCTTTTCAATCCTGTCTCCAGGTTCAAAAAATGATACGCTCCCCTTCTTTCTTAGTCATTATCGTTTCAGTGCTGATCAAATACCTACAATGAACAAGTATTACTATGAACATCAGGGAAAAAATCGTTTTAGGAAGAGTGTGATTCAAAAGAGTTTAAAGGGGAACCGCCCCACATGCTCCCTATTAGGACTTCTCTCCTGAGATTAACAAGTTTATGGATGGGCTTGATACTATAGCAATTTGGGTCTATATCTTTTTTGTGTGTGTGTGGTATGCGGGCCTCTCACTGTTGTGGTCTCTCCTGTTGCGGAGCACAGGCTCCGGACGCGCAGGCTCAGCGGCCATGGTTCATGGGCCCAGCCGCTCCGCGGCATATGGGATCTTCCCAGGTCGGGGCACGAACCCATGTCCCCTGCATCGGCAGGCGGACTCTCAACCACTGTGCCACCAGGGAAGCCCTGGGTCTATATCTTAACCTCTTCCACTCCATTTTAAGTACCTGCAGACCAAGGAACATACCATATTTTTTTTTTTACAGTTTTTTTGAGGTATAAGTCACATACCATACAATTCACCCATTTAAAGTGTTCAATTCAGTTGTTTTTAATGTATTCACAGAAATATGAAACCATCACCACAATTTAGAACATTTTCATCACTTTAAAAAGAAACCTCCTACGCTTTAGCTATCACACCTCTGCCCACCCCCTCCCCAGCCACTATTCTACTTTCTGTCTCTATAGATTTCCCTATTCTGGACTTCCATATGGATGGAATCATAATATGTGGTCTTCTGTGATTGGCTTCTTTCACTTAGTAAAATGTGTTTAAGGTCCGTCCCATTCATACTGTAGAATGTGTCAGTACTTCATTCCTTTTTCTGGCTAAGTAATATTCCACTGTATGGATATAGCACCTTTTAATTATCCATTGTCCACTGATGGACATTCAGATGGTTTGCACATTTTGACACATTATGAATGATGCTGCTATGAACATCTGAATACAAGTTTTGTGTAGACATAAGTTTTCATTTCTCTTGCATTTATGCCAAGGAGTGAAATTAAGGAACAGACCATATTCGTTCCTCTTTCCACTACAATGCCTAGCATTGTGCTTCATGCAGTGTGAGGCCTCAGTGGATATTTGTCAAGTGAGTGAAAAGAATACAGTTCTCAGCATAAGATATTAAAGCCAAAGGGTCCACCTAGGTTCCACCAAAGCCTGTGACCACCACCCTGGCTTCCCCAGATCGACTAAAATAAACGTCCATCTTGTTTCTTGCTCATTGTGATTTTGTCTCTTTCTCCTGCACTTCAGGAACTGATGAAGCCACCATCATTGAAATCCTATCAAGCAGGACATCGAATGAGAGGCAACAAATAAAACAAAAATACAAGACAACGTATGGCAAGGTGACGCCGAGGGTCCTCGGCCGTGTGCACACGGCCTTGGTCTTGACTGTCTCTTCTGCTTCTTTTATGTTCCCGAGACAGTGAGGACTATCTTAAAGCTTTATTGAGTTAGCCCAAGAGAAACAAAATGAAACAACTATTTAAAACTTGAATTGACTTCAGAAAAACTGAAATGGCCTTGTTAACAGCCTATAAAATCAATATTGGTTAACTCATTATTTTTCCAATTGACTTCTTTTTAAGTTGATTCCTCAGTCTTTTTTTCCCACTCATTTGGATTAATTCCACATATTAACTTATAGATAGGCCAGGGATTTGAAAACCAGTTTTCACAGGTGGGTCTTTATGTAAGAATTCTTCATTTATTCAGGTGTCTTCAAGAATGATATATTCTTCATAAGTGATTGTTACAAAAACTAAAAAAACAAAAACCAAACCCAAAAAAACCCCCATTTCGTTAAGCATCAACGTCTTTTTCTTTCTTTACGTATCTTTTCTTTCATTCTTCTTGTTGATGGTGTTACATTTAGAAATCTTTAAGAATGCATTAGGCTTTCTGTTTTCTTTATTAATATAGCATGAACACGACTTAACATTTTCTTAATGTCATTAGAATTATCAGTTTGCCAGATAAATATTAATTATTATGCTGCATTCTAATCCAATTTTATACTTCCTTTACAGTTTCAGTAACTATGTATAAATAGGTATAGAGATAGAGGTGGATTTTCTTACTTATTTGTCACTGGGGAAGCAACAATCTCTCTAGGCCTTGGTCTCCTCACAAATAAAATGAAAATGGTAATTTGCCTTCCTTCTCAGGTTGCGGTGAGAATCAAGTAGGGTAATGCTGGCACCTACCAGTAAAGGGAGGCTGTGATAGGTATGATTGTTTCCACCTTAGAGAGAGAAAAAGTGGGGCTCATCTGTTTAAATGACTCATGCAAAACCACACACTTATTAAGAAAAAGAACCAGCATTCAAATCTAAGTCTTCCATCTCCAGGGCCAGCCTCCACTCCTGAAGAATCCATTGCCATGTGAGGAGCTATTTATTTATACATTAAACAGTCCAGACAGCTGTGCTTTTGTAGTTCTTCTGCTTCCCTCTTCACAATCAGGCTTGTCAATGTCACTCATTGATGACCTTGGTGAAAATAAGTGAAGCTTCAGTTCAGCTGCATTGAATTGAATTGAATGACATTGAACTTTCATCCTTGTCAGCAAGCCTGACTATAGCATCCTCTCAAGTGCTGTGTCTACTTATATCCTACTGATATGGAAAGTCAGATACAGGCATCTTAAGCTTTGGTGTAAAATAAGTGTAAATGGGTTCAAAGTGAGGACTCAGGGGCTCTGTTAAAGTGGGCTTGCTCTAGCACAAAACTCTGCAATACCTACATCTGCCAATCATTTGCTTACTTTCCAATTCTCAGCTGTGTTTCAAACAGCTGGGACTGCCAAAGAGGTGATCGAGAATCATACCACAAAGCTAGAAGACATTAGAGACCATCAAATCTAAAGTCAGCTGAGCTCCACAGAGAATAAGTATCCCAAGGTGACACAGCTAGTTAGCAGGAAACCAGGATTAGAGCCCAAGTCCAAACAGAATGTAAACACACAAGGATTTGTTTTCATCCTTGTGACGTACGAGAGCAGCCAGCTGGGATTTCTCTTCTCTACAGTTCTATATAATGCCCATCTGACTTGGAAAAATATTTCCAGTCTTCAGGTAGATCCACACCAGAGTACTGACCAAAGGCCTGTCTTCACAAGATCAGGTTAGATGCAGCAACTGCCATGGGATGGAGCCAGTAATATCACAACCTGCTATTAAGACTGCAGATCCCAGGGCCTTGGACAAAAATCTTCTGGGATTTTCCTCCCAGGTCCGGAGCTCAGAGGTTCATTTGAGAAATAGTTGATTTGCCTTCTCTCTGAAAGTTCCTTTCAACATGAAATCATCATCATCATCATCATCACTTATTGAACATTGAAAATGTGCCAGGCACTGTGTTCAGTGTTTACAAGGATTCTTTATTTAATTCTCCCAACAACCTTAAGAAGTCAGTCTTATTATTCTTCCCATTTTTCAGAGAAGGAAACTGACAGTTGGTGAAATTAAGCACATTTCCTAGGTTGCAGAGCTACATGACTGTGTTGTTAGACATCATGCCATGGTGCTGAGTAGCCAGGCCCACCCCATGCTGTAATTTGGTCTATCAGCTTCCAGTCTGACCCACAAGGGGCTGTCTCTGTGTGAAGGTCCTGCTCTGAGGTCCTTCATTTAACTTGGGACCTTGATGACTCTAGTTGGACTGAACGCCCATTCTTGACGCTTTTCTCATTAAACCATCAGGTCAGAGGGAGACAGTAGGAGCAGGCGGTTCACCTGTGATTGGAAGGGGCTTGCCCAAAACAGGACGCCAGTGAGAATTTCATGCACTTCCCTTCCCCCACCTGAGTTCTTTCCCACGTGTGTCCCTTTCAGAATTTAACAAAATGCCAAAGTGACTGTATATCAGGTTTGCCCAGGACAGTCCCACTTTAATTCCTGTTGTCCCCCTGCAATCATTAATAGTGCCCCCCCTTTCACTGTCAAAAGCATCCCAACTTGGACAATGAATGATCTGGTCTCCTAGGGATGTCAAACCTGTATTTCAGTCTTCTCTAGCCAAGTATTTGGAGATGAGTCCTTTATCTTATTGAGGTTCAGTCCATGGGGATAATGCAATACCTCTCCTGCCAGGGCTGTTTTAGGGATCAGTGAGGAAGCTCTCTGAACCCTAAAATATTCTGCAATGCTGGTTGTTACTATGATTCATCTTTGGGGTCCCCAACCCTGAGCAAGGGATCTGTCATCCACCTTGGAAGAAGGTGGATGGGCACTTGGGAGACGACTGTTCTCCAGAGCAGGTCACTCATGCCTGTAGAGCTCCAGTCTAGATTGTGCCCCGTGTGTCCACAGCAGGTGTCCTGCGGTGGGGAGAGCAGACACCTGTCCCTCTGCTCTCAGCACGTTCCCAGACAAGACTCTCGCTGTCTTCCCACAGGACCTGGAGGAGGTGCTCAAGAGGGAGCTGAGTGGATACTTTGAGAAGACAGCCTTGGCCCTTCTGGACCACCCCAGCGAGTATGCCGCCCAGCAGCTGCAGAAGGCCATGAAGGGCCTGGGCACGAACGAGGCGGTGCTCATTGAGGTCCTGTGCACAAAAACCAATAAGGTGAGTCCCAGCCGAGTCCTGGACCAACTCCCAGGTGAGCGTCCATATGCCCATCAGAGATGGTTACAGCAGCCAGAAGGGAAAGTCCTCCCTGCATTCCACCCACAGGGTGAACAAGTGTCTGGGCAGAAACGCGTCCACTTGGTTCACACTGGAGAGATCCCTCTTCCAATCTTCTGATGGTCAGTCTTGGTGTTGCTGCTCCTGGCTTGACAGGATAGATCCTTCCAGAAGCACAGTGTCAATCCAGCTTTCATTTTTCTAAAGAGATGCACAGTTTTACACGAAGGAGGAAAGTTCTACTTTACCCTCCCAGCCTGACTTTGCAGGTCGCCTGGCACGAATAATACAACAGCCCAAGCATGGCTGCATCTAGCAGAGAGCACAAGAACAGGCAGGGGGGTGGGGGTGCCAGGGGGGGTCCCAGTGAACACCCCCGGGGCCGCCACCACTTCCCCAGAGGTTTCCACGTCCTCTATCCTGTCCTCCCCTGGTCCCTTGGGCACATGCCACCATCTCAGGAGCTGAAAAGGACGTTTGTTAAGGCCCTCGCAGAAGCCCATTCATCTTTGGTTCCAGAACCCATAAGGGCCAAGGACTTCATCAGGAGAAGAGAGGGCCCACAGGGCATTATCTGGGGAAGCCCTGCCTCTTCCACAACACCCATCACATAGAATGGGGAGGTCCAGCGAGGAAATGCCAGGAAAATCCAACATTCTTGAGGCCTCCGGGTAGGAAGCAGAAACAGCACTTGCAGCAGATGGCGAGGAAAGCTGCCCCAGCGCTCTGACACTGCGGTGCCGTTTGAGCCCCCGAGTGCCTACCACCTGGGCTGGTTCCTCCTGCCCAGCCTGTGCTGTCCACCCACGTCTCCTGAAGCACCACCAGGCTCCACGCTACAGCTGCAAACCCCTTTCTTGAACATCTCTGGACTTCTTTTCTTCCCAAAGGATAATAAAACCCCTCCATTTGGGGAGATTCAGGTTAGGATTGTGCCTTAAGGGAGGGTTAGCACAGGAGGGCCGTATCAATTCAGTCCAACAACCACACAACTCTCCTTACTGAATATTCCCATCCTTTCCAGAAGGACCAAAGTCCTAGCGACCAGGCAGCCAATATTTGGGCAGCCTGCCTTGGCAAGAAGGTTAATTTGGTCGTTACTTTTCTTATTTTTTTTTTTTTTTTGCGGCACGCAGGCCTCTCACTGCCGTGGCCTCTCCCGTTGCGGAGCACAGGCTCCGGACGCGCAGGCTCAGCGGCCATGGCTCACGGGCCCAGCCGCTCCGTGGCACGTGGGATCTTCCCGGACCGGGGTACGAACCCGTGTCCCCTGCATCGGCAGGCGGACTGTCAACCACTGCGCCACCAGGGAAGCCCTGGTCGTTACTTTTCTAATCACACTTGCCTACACGTGGTTCACCCGCAGCCTAATTTCTTTCAGGTCCTGGTCTCAAACAATGAGCAGGTTCTTTTTTTTTTTTTTTTTTTTTTTCAATCAAATAGATCTGACAGTAAAAAGAAGAAAAGCAGGGAGAGAGCAGGGCCTGGGTTCAGGCAGATCCTGAGAGTGGGCTGGAAGGAGGAGAAAGGGGAGGGGGCTGCAGAGTCACAGGTGTTCGGCCCCCACCTGCTTCCTCCTCTCTCCCACCCACCGAAGCAACATCGGCCTGGCCCTCATCTTCTATCGCTCCCTCTCCCTTCTCCCCATCACTGCCCCATGACTTTCATTTTAAACAGTTTATGAGAGATGCTGTAGGGAAATGCCTGCTCTTATACGCTGCTGGTTCAAGTGTAAACTGAGGCAGCTCCCAAGTGGGTCAAGCCATTGCAATATACAGCCATACTTTGTTTCATTGCGCTTCGCTTTACCGCGATTTTTCAAATAGCATGTTTGTGGCAACCCTTCATCAAGCAAGCCTATCAGCACCATTTTTCCAAAAGCATTTGCTCACTTCCTGTCTCTGTGTCATATTTTGGTAATTCTCACAATATTTCAGACCCTCCACTGGCAGAAAGATGACGACTTGCTGAAGGCTCAGGTGATGGTTAGAATTTTTAGCAATAAAGTTTTGTGGGTTTTTTTGCGGTACACGGGCCTCTCACCGCTGTGGCCTCTCCCGTTGCGGAGCACAGGCTCCGGACGCACAGGCTCAGCGGCCATGGCTCACGGGCCCAGCCACTCCGCGGCATGTGGGATCTTCCCGGACCGGGGCACGAACCCGTGTCACCTGCATCGGCAGGCGGACTCTCAACCACTGCGCCACCAGGGAAGCCCACAATAAAGTATTTTTAAATTAAGGTATGTGCATTGTTTTTTTAGATATAATGCTGTTGCACACTTAACAGACCACAGTAGAGTATAATCATAACTTTTGTATGTACTGGGAAACCGAAAGATTCGTGTGACTCGCTTTATTATGATACTCATTTTATAGGGGTGGTCTGGAACCAAATCCACAATATCTCCAAGGTGTGCCTGTAAAGCAGTTCTTCCTGGCACACTCCCTAGAGAGAGACTTGCACTCCTGTACACAGCAAATTGTTTACTGAGTGCAGCCTTCTTTGAGGTAGAGAAAAACTGAACACAGCCTAAATGTCCATCAATCAGAGGCTGGCTAAATAAACAGGGGCTTGCTGTAGGATGGAACCTTTTGTATCCATTAAAAAAAACACTAGGTGACTAAGTAATGTACAAGCCTAGCTGGACCTCCAAAACCTATTACTGAGTGAAAAAATAAGTCAAAGAACAAACAATATGAACAGTATTCCACTTTTTAAACACATACACGAAACAGTTCTATATATTTGCAGTAGCACAAACATATATATACAAATGTAAAGGGAAAATATGCACTGAACTTCTAACACTGGCTACCTGGGTGGGGAAGGGAGAGTGAGATGGGGTGAGGGGGTAGTGAAAGAAGATGTTAGCTTAGCTGTAATGTTTTCACTTTTAACTAAGGATGACATATGCTAAAGGACTCCACACAGCTGGGGACTTGCTCTAGGCCTAGACCTTGACCTGTAGGGACAACCCCCTTTGGAGGAAGTCATAAAGGCATCCTGGGTCCAAAGACAAGCTCCTGCCTCTTCCCTTTGCTTGTCTCTGCCTATATTATTGATTAACCCCACCGTGGAGTATTGATTTTTTTTTTTATTACCTCTCCTAGGAAATCATCGCCATTAAAGAGGCCTACCAAAGGTGTAAGTGACCGTTTGTTCTGACTTTAAAGAATGTTCCTTCTAAAATACCTCTGGGAGACTAAATCTGCTTTCTCTCCTCCTTTCTTCTTCCCCAAAAGTATTTGACAGGAGCCTTGAATCAGATGTCAAAGGTGATACAAGTGGAAGCCTAAAAAAAATTCTGGTCTCCCTGCTACAGGTAAAAGTAAAAAGGTCTAACCTGCTTTATGATCTTGGGAAACAGCCCTTGGCAGCATGGGACCATGATGAAAAAGGCAATTTAGATGATAAACATTTCCTTCTTTTATTAAAAATGTTACTGAGGGATCATCAACCTGTGTTCTGTCAGCCCAGCTCATGTGAAATTATTCAGTGGGTATTTTTCCCATCATAACAATCCACCTAGTCATTTGCAGTTTACAATCCCTTTTTGTTAGTGAGTTATCTCATTAAGCATCACCACCTCACTTTGCCAGTGAGGAACCTCTAGGTGTACACACAGTAAGACACAGCTTAGGAGCAAGCACCAGCCCATCTGACCCCAAGTAGGGCCCTTTTCATGACACAACTTACTTCCAGGATTTACCCCAAGTCTAGGCCTGTAAGAACTGCTGTAGGGAGCTTGGCCTGGAAAGCAGGGCTTTAAGAATTGGCCCTGCTAGGACACAGACCCCGCGGCCCCCAGCCAGATGGCATCTGCACTCTCATTGACACACCTATCTTTATGAGCTTTGTGTGTTTCCTCTGCTTCATTACTCTCGATGTGGAGAGACTGATAGCAGAGAATACACAGTAGGCTTCACCTGTAGCACAAACAGTATATAAGTGTTCTCCTGCTGTATAACAAATTGCTGCAAACTCAGCAACCTAAACTATGCAGACCCATGATCTAGCAGTTTCCTTGGGGCAGGGGTCCTGTTGCGGGTTAGCCAGGGTCTCGCCAGGCTGAAATCAAGGTGTCGGCCAGGGCTGCCATCTCATCTGAGGCCTGGGGTCCTCTTCCAAGCTCACTGGCTGTTGGTAGATTTCGGTTCCCTGTGGTTGTACGACTGATGTCCCCGTGTTCCTGCTAGCTGTCAACCAGAGACCACTCAGCTCCTAGAGGCCAACTGCAGTTCCCTGTCGTGGCCCCATAGACAGTTCAGAGAATGGCTATTTGGTTTCTTCCAGGCCAGCAGGAGTTCATGTCTCTGACTTCTTCCATCTCTGACCTTAAAGAGCTCACCTGATTGGGTCAGACCTACGCAGGATAACTGATTAGGGATTTTAATTACATCTATAAACATCCCCTTTGCCATATAAACATAATATGATCACAGGAGTGGTCTCACCATATTCACAGGTCTTACCCACACTCAGAAGAAGGGGATTATACAAGAGTGTGGGCCACCTGGGTCATCTTAGAATTCCACCTGCCACTAAGGGCTTAGGTTAGACCTCCAAAACTTTCCATGACCAACATTCAGGGCTCTTCAGGGCTGGGACCCTGAGAAGTGAAACTTGATATTTTGGAAGGAAGACTAATAGCTTCCCAACAGACTCATTCTAGGCGACATCATGAGGTTTCTTAGAGGTCAGTGGGGTTTGTGAGTGACCCTGGTTTCTACAAAAAAAAAAAAGGAAAAATGTGTTGTCACAGAAGCTACTCTGTTTATCAGTTGTGCCCAAAAGATGGCAGCAAAGAGCAGCATTGCCACTTTGCCAGGTTTTGTCTAGCTTCAGGCCACCCCTCTGAAATCACCCCCTTTTCTAGGACTTTCCCTTTTTGTTTTCTGTGGTCAAGCAGGAACTCAAGTTAATAACAATGTGTTGATTTTTCTAGGCTAATCGCGATGAAGGAGATAATGTAGACAAAGATCTAGCTGGTCAGGATGCCAAAGATCTGTACGATGTAAGTATGCAGATGTGCCAGTCTCTGCAAATCCTTTTTTTTTTAAATTAACATTATTTTCAACTGTTATTTTATTTTATGCGAATTGGAATTACTTGGGAAATAAGTATGATCTTTAAAATATTTTTCATATATATGGTCATGAACCTAGAAGAACTGCTTTTTCTATTCTTATATTCTGGGGTTAACCACCTTAGATCCATTTTGGAACAAGGGAAGGTATAAATAATATAAATATATGAGGTATACTTGTGGGTTAGAAGTTTAAAGTGCTAGACCGATCAATGTGGCTTAGATTCAGTGCATATTTTACTGTTTCCTGTAAGGGAGGCCTGGTCACAGCTCTGTTTATTCAGTCTTTTTGCAAAAGGCTTTTTCAAAATGTTTACACTCGGCTCTCTAGGCAGGGGAAGGCCGCTGGGGCACGGACGAGCTTACCTTCAATGAAGTCCTGGCCAAGAGGAACCACAAACAGTTACGAGCCACCTTTCAAGCCTACCAAGTTGTAAGTGACCCAGTACTAAGGCAAGGAGTTCACACGGAAACTGAGTCTCAAGTTATTTCCAAAAGAAGCCGAGTTCTGGGATGTGGAACTGGGTGGCAGGGGGTGGGGTGTCTTTGACAATAGTGGTTCTCTATCAGGGGTGATTTTGCACCCCCCAAGGGATATTTGATAATGTCTGGAAACATGTGGGGTTGTCACAACAAGGTGCACTGGGGCAAGCAGCACTATTGGCATCTAGAGCGTCAAGGCCAGGGATGCTGCTGAACAGCCCACAGTGCACAGGGCACCTCCCACAACAAACAGTCATTCGGCCCCCAGTGCACTGCTGAGTCTGGGAAACCCTGCTTTGCAACAGAGGCTAGGGAAGCAGGGGAGTGTCAAGTTTAGGAGCAAAGCCCTAGAGTCAGAGGGTACAGGTTCAAATCCCGGTTCTACCACTAACAAGTGACCTGATGTCACCATCCTCATTTGTAAACATCGACACCCCACCCTCACGGGGTTATTTTAGGTGTTAAATAAGATAAATATAAAAGGATCAGGACAGTATCTGGCATGTGGTAAGCTTACAAATGTTTGCTGTTACTATTATTCCAATTGACAGTTGGGCTAACAGTGCCTACTGCTCCCAAAACAGATGTGATAATACCTCAGAGATACACTCTTGGAAAGATGTGTATCAGTTACTCTTATACAATTATTTTTTTAATCTAATGATAATTTTAAGTCAACGAGGTGAGTTAGCTATTTCAAGGCACTTAGTGGTTAATCCTTCCCTGAAAATCAGTCTTTAATTGCAAGAAGACTTTTGTGGAATATCAGATTTTGTCTTGGTCTCCTATTTTATATTTGTGGAATGCTTTTAACTATTCAAAGGACCTCTGTGCCCTGTGTCTCATTTCAATTTCACAAGAATACTGTAACTCAAAAGTAGGCTGAAGAGCCATTGTTACCCACAACTGCTGGTGGAGGAAAATCTGTTACAAGTAAGGAACCATCTGTAACTTATCAGGACCACACAGCAAGTCAGTAGCAGAAAGTGGATGAGAATTCCAAGATTCCCCAGCCTGAGCTCCTACCTCAGCTAGAGCTGGCCGCTCCTCACTCAAAATAGCATTTCCTATGTGTTGCCAGCAGATGAAAAGACAACAAAGCTTTGGAATTTTATCATCACTGTATATAAGCCCTTAGGGCCCTCTGCTTTCAAATCCTGCCCAGAGCCGTGATCAAAGGCAGCTGACCCTGTACTCCCCTGGCCCCTGGGCCTGGAGCTGTGTAGACTGAGCTGGAAGCCTTCTCCATGACCTAGACCCTCTTCCCATAAGACTGGGGCCATGGATGGAGTTTCTGGGGTGGCTGTCATTGGGGATCACTATAGAAACACACATGTGTGAGGGTGTGTGTGTGTGTGTGTGTGTGTGTGTGTGTGTGTGTGTACATGAACTACTGACTATCTAAGGATACTCCCTAGGCTGATTGTTCTCAAAATTAATCCCCACACAGCAGAATCCGTATCACTTGAGACAATGTTTAAAATGAGAATTCTTGGGCTTCCCTGGTGGCGCAGTGCTTGAGAGTCCGCCTGCCGATGCAGGAGACGCGGGTTCGTGCCCCGTTTCGGGAAGATCCCACATGCCGCGGAGCGGCTGGGCCCGTGAGCCATGGCCGCTGAGCCTGCGCGTCCGGAGCCTGTGTTCCGCAAATGGGAGAGGCCACAACAGTGAGAGGCCCGCATAACGCAAGGAAAAAAAAAAAAAAAAATGAGAATTCTTAGTGCCGGCCCTGGACCTACTGAATCAGCTTCCTTGGAGTTAGGGTCCTGTAGTCTGTGTTTTAACAAATCTTCCAGATTCTGATTCATGTTAAGGTTTAACAAGTCTGCTCTAGGCTACTAGCTGTATGACCCTGGGCAAGTTATTAAGGGTTCTGTGCCTCAGTTCCCCCAACCGTATAATAAGGATAATAATAGTACCTACTTCACAGGGTTAGTAAGGATTAAATGAATTAACAGATTTAAAGCATTTATTGCCTGGCATGAAGTAGGTGCTCAATTAACACTGGCAGTTGTTATGAGTCGCCTTATGTGAACTGACAGTGTCAAAAAACAGAGCTAAAACTCAAATGGTCAGTAAGAGAATCAATTGATCTGATAATTCTTTACATGAAACCAGCTCTAAAATGCTACCTATTCATCATTTCGAAAGCCTTGTTGGAACATTGTTCATCTTTATCTTTATCATTGATCTTCTGAATTCATCCTGATCTTGGGAACCTGGCTCCATAAATTTTCTCATGATCTCTGGCTAAAAGCACTAAGATGCTAGGGTCAGATCAGTGAAGTGTATCATACGGCATAGGTTGTCCTGGCATAGAGTCGAATTTTAATTTTTGGCGCAAAAACTCAGGTTTTTGCCCTTAATCTGCCCTCTAAACCTGAGTCTTAACTGTTGACACTCTCAGAGATCCCAGCCCAAGCAACAAAGCTTCCCCAACTCTGCAGCATCATGAAAGATTATTACCGTCCCCAAATCTAGCAAATATGAAAGGCTTGTAGAGTTATAAAGGTCCCCAAACATGGCTCAGTATAAATTGTAGGTACACATACCCATAGCCCCAGGTCACTGCCTCACCACCACACCCCTCACCATAAAGTTCTCCCCTCCCCTAAAGTGTTCCTAAGCCCATTCCAGAACCTTTAGCCCTTTAACTGCTATAACCAAAGTCAGAATGCACAGGGTTCTGCCGTGGGCACGCTGTCAGTTTGGGGCATTGGTTTTAAAAGAAAGAAATGTGTCTCCTATTCTTCTAATAATCTCCCCACAGGCAATGCTACCTGGTAAACTAGAAGCCTTTGAGGCTTGTCTGGAATCCACCCTGGCAATGGGTTTTTGTACCGAGATCAGAAAACCTGGTTTTGTCCAAAGAGCCCCCCTAAGAATTAAGTGTTCCAATAAGTGAGAAGCATTCCATTTGCAAAGGAGCATCTCAGTAGCTTGGGCCAGTGGATTGTTTTCCATTTGTGCTCAATGGAGTCCCTGGAGGTGCCTTGGTAGCTACCAGGAGGGAATCGGGGGTGGGGGGGAAGGAGGTAGGTAGAGAAGCAAGGGCAATGCCGTCTCACTGTATCTCATGAATAGTGCCCCGGGAGTTGGGCAGCGAAGAGACTGAGAGGCCGGGAACCTGGCATTACCATCTAGGGCTGCGGTAAGAAGCCCATCTCCCGCCTCCCCAGAACAGTTCTGCTTTCCTGCTTTTATCTGTTGTGTAGGCTGAGATGCTACAGAAAATTTAAAAACACTGTTCTAGCCCAGTACTAATAATAATAATGGAAAGTGGTTTAATGTGAGGATTTTTTTTTTTTTTTACTAAACACAGACCTGTGTGAGGACAATGTCCTCTGGAAACACAGTCTCAGTCTACACAACAAGAACCCTGTTCATGGGAAAAGTGATAGCCGTTTCTTCTGAAATAGCAGCTCCCACATCCAACCCCCAACACCTCAGAACAGCTAAGAAAGGGACTGAAAGCTCCCCCCAATCCAATCCCCTTCTTATCTAGGTCGATTCCACACCAGACCTCTAGATGGGCCAACTATGATGAGGACATCAAGCTACGGGTTTCATTAAATCTGGACCCTCCTTACCCCCACATCTATTGTGCTCGTATCACAAAGAATATGTTGTTTACCAGTGTTTTCAGAATAAACTACATAAACTCCACTGGCATGTCCTCAAAGGCCCCAATTATTTATAGACTCACAATTGTGTCATATCCTCAAGAGATAATTTCTAAGAAAGAAGTTTCAGTATTTCTAATGCTTAACTGCATTTCCCAAACCCAACCAAAAGTTCTCCTTTCTCTTTATATGCCTGCCCTGAGCTTGGCCCAGGCGGTACTTGTGTTAAGCGTGGTCACAATTTACTCTGAACTTCAGCTTCTATAAATATTTGGAAGGAAACCTAATGTGTAATGCTGTGCAGAACGAGCTGGCGGTGAATATAAGATCATCTGGAGTCTCCGCAGAGGGAAAGAAAGCAGCATTTGACGTGGTCAGCCCCTGGCTCCCAGCCCAAGTAGCCCCACAGTATCAGAAACATTAGACCAAGTCCTTACCGTGAACTTCACAACCTCTATTCATGTCACCCAAAGTGTAGGTGCCCGAGCTCCCAGTCTCAGTCCACAATGGATGAAGGTGTGGGAGATGATTACAACCATTGCCTCCTGGAAAACTGGAAATGGAAAGAATTTTTATAAACACATAGGAAACTCAAGTACGATAGAAACATAAAGAATATTGTTGCAGTATTTATTCATTGTTTTTCCACTCCCTGATTTCACAGAGGAGGAAACTGAGGCTGAGGGAGTGGTCCTGACTGGGGTCACATCCATTAGGGGTCAAATCGGGACGAACTCCTAGGCCACGAGAGTCCCCACTCGAATGGTGGGCAACCATCCCCAGCCCTGCAAGGGCTGAGGCCAGAGAGGAATCCCAGAGTTCCTCTGGTCCTTGCGTGACCAAATCTGGAAGAGAGTCTATTGCTTTTTGTAGAAGAACGAGCCTCAAGTGCACCAAAGGCCAAAAGCAAAACCTGGACTAACAGCTGCACTTTCTTTCTCCAGCTCATTGGCAAAGACATCGAAGAGGCCATCGAAGCAGAAACGTCAGGAGCTCTGCAGAAGGCCTACTTAACTCTCGGTAAAGTAAAGCTAGGAAAGCCCCTGATTTGGGTTGGGCTCCCTGGAACCAGACTTGGAGACAGAGGTTTCTGTGCAGGAAGCTTTCAGGGAATAGCTTGGGAACCACACATCTAAGCAGCATTGGGAAGGGAGAGAATGAATGTGATGCAGCTGCAACAGGAGCTGTGCTGGTCCCCCAAGGAGCCCTGGAGTCAGGATGTCCAAAGCGGAGGCAAGGGGACCAGGTCTTCACACGCCACATCAAGCAGCTGTCAGGCTGCACCCAGGGAGCATCTGCAACCTTGGGGAAGATAGCTCCCTCTTTTGACTCCTAATGAATATGACCCCAGTCAGTCCCTCCCTCCTGAGAAGGGACTCAACCCTGAGCAGCCAGCAGGTTAACACTTGGCATGAGTGCCTGCTGTCCTGAAGACAGCAGCTGGGGGACCTACCACAGCATCCACGACAGTCCCACTAAGATCATGGAGCCCCGAGAGCCTCCATCAACAGCCTGGGACCATTGTCTAGTCTCGTGGGGCAGCACGCGGTTCATGTGACACACGCTCAAAAGCACCCAGGTTCGGATCCAGGAACAAGTTTCTGCGGGTGCCTGATGGCCCAAGGGTGACCTTTTCCATTTGGTTCCCTTCAACACTGGAATGAATGAGGTCTGTGTAGAAAGCAAGGCGGGGGAGACTAGATCAAGGCCGTGCCAAGCAAACGCCAGGCATTTCTCTCCAGGTGTTGCCTGTAGGCAGGAAATAGCAGAGAGATGGGTACCGGGCTGTGGCTGGCAGGCTCCTTTCTCATTTTTGCAAGCCCTGGAATGAAGGCATTGTCCATTGTCCACACTCCGGTGGCAAGGAGGCCAGGGCAGCAACCCAAATGGCACGAGAAATGGAGAGAATATCCCCAGAAGAAGAGAAAGAACCAAAAAAGCAGCCCCTGGAAGCTACAAAATGTGCTCTCGCTGCCAAACCCTTTTGTTTTGTTTTTCTGATGGGATTTTGGGGGCAATGTCAGCAATTGATTTTTTTTTCCACCCTCATTTTGCATTCAGATTAGCAGGTCTGCTATTGTTATAGAGGCCTGAACATCCTTAACGTCACTCCCGTCCCACAATGGATACACACAGATGACTGTCCTTAGGGCTTTAAGGATGAGTGTGTTAAGTAAACGGAGAGATCTACTCATGGCCCAGCTACAAGGCTCCAAAGCCTTTCTGTACCTACAGTGTAAAGAAGCAGGAAAACGCCAGAGTTCAGTCAGAAGATTAATACTAATTCTTATTAGTATTAAGTATTAATGGTAATAAAACCATTCAACCCTTTAACATTTACTTAGCACCTGCCTGGGCCAGCAGTTGAGCCAGGCGTGGGGATCAGAGGTAAATAGGTCCAGTTCCTGTTCTTAAGAAGCTTCAAACTCATGGCAGATACACACAAATCAACAGACTGAGCTACAGTAAAGATAAAACCAAAAACAATCAGAGCACAGCAGGTACAGAGGAAGGAAAGGACCCATCCCTGCAGTTGGGGGGCCATGAAATGCAGGAGTTGGGTGGACTCCACTGGTAGCAAATATAAAAGAGATTAGAAAAGACCTTGAAAAGGAACCACACAAAGAGTGGAACATGACTTCATGACTAAATTCTCTACACACTCCCCACCCTGCTCCTGCCTAACTCATAAAGATGCCAGTTTGCCACTAAAATTGAGGAGGAGTTATGAGACCAAACGGTTCCCACCGCTTGCAGCCTTTGGAGCAGCACTTCTCAAAGTGGGGTCCATGGACCCCCTGCATCAGACTCACGTGGGGAGGCGTGTGAAAGTGAAGTTTCTGGAGGCCCACTCCAGGTTACCCACTTAGGACTTCCTGGAATGCAGCCCAAAGCCACACATTGACAAGCTCCTCCCGTGATCATCTTATGCCCCCTGGAGTTTGAGAGCCCCTGCTCTGCAGGTCAGGAGGGGCAAGAGGCACCGCGGGCTGGCTGGCTGCCCTTCCTCTCACACGCATGAAGATCTTTATTCCCGCATCCTCCCAAGCTGGCCCCACCCAAACTTTCGGGGTATTC